GTGGCCCGCGGGCCACCAGTTGCCCATCCCTGATTGAAACAGTTAGTTGTGCTCGATACTTTAACGCACATAAACTCTGAGTTTGTTCCACTGAAAAGGTTACGTGATGATGAAAACTGGACGCAGCAGGAAGCGGCGGCGGCGGCGGTGTTACCTGCGGAAGGCGGTGATCCACCGGCCCAGCTCCGTGTTGCAGTAGGGGCTCTGCTGATCGCARCAAACGAACAGCTGAACCGTGTGGTCCCAGTGGGCGCAGGACGAGTCCCTCCTGCCGGGACACGACAGAGACGCGTCCAGCTGCAGGGTGTCAAAGACCTGCAGGTCTGACACCGTAAATAAACGTGTGAATAAGACGTTCTCATCGTCATGTGATGAAGTACAGAACCCTCAGTCTGCGTTATGAGGAGGATACTTCAACATGTGAGGGTCAGATGAAGATACCTGAAGGCAGGTCGACTGTGGCCACGGCGCCCTCGTCGCCCTGCATCGTGACTTCGTCAAACACACAAATAACCTCTGCAGGACTTTGGAGTTTRAGCTGCAAATTTGCAGAGAATTCAAACCTGGAGACAGAAGCAAACAGACAGATTGTGGATTTAATAATCGAACCTCCTGATGCTCTGCTGTCACATCTGAGGAGCAGTTTTTATCAGTAAAAACATCAAAGCAAATTGTCTCTTTATCTCCTGCACCGACCGGCTGCCTGTTTGTTCCACTAATGATTTTAACATTCTTTTACTTTATTTGTTATTTCACTGAAATTCTTGGCTTTCATAACCCAAACGGAGCTCTGTGATCGAAGGCTGCGGCTAAATYAAAGCACCGACCGTGTTTCTGTTGATATTTTGTAATTGTTTTTTTTTTTTTGTGATATCTTCTGTAGGCTCCTCCCATAGATGTGCATCATGATTTACATAGTCAGGTTGTGATTTATTTCTCCTTGATTATAAATAGTTTTGCTGCCTCTTTGTTTTCGTAAACAAACCAGTTTTTGTCTTCAATTCTAAATCGACTTTTAATCCAAGTTTAATCTGAGCTTCAGTTTGATTTTTCTTGTTTTAGTTCGCATTTTTTGTTGTGGGAAATGAGGGTCATGATGTCGCCATTTCAGCTCGTTTTCCTCTGGTTTGAAGTGATGTAAATAAATAACCACATGGGATACAAAATCATTTAGTTTTAAATATAATTTTAAAATATTTTGTTTACAGAAGAGGTAAAATGTGCTGGATTTAAGCAGAATCAGTGGGTGATGATGGTGTTCTCACCATTGGGCCTGCCAGTTAATGAAACTGAAGGAGGGGTAGAGGAACCAGCCCGTCTCAGCCAGCGCCCCCTGCTGGTCAATACCGAAGAAGAAGTTTGGAGACGGAGTCGTCTGGAAGGAGACCCTCACCTGCTGTCCAGCCCTTCAAAATAAAAGCTTCATTTCACCAGATGCAAAACAAAAGTCTTAAAACTTTAAAATCTGCATTGAAATAACTTTAATAAAACCAAAACATTAAAATAAATCTGAATTTATTGAGAAAACAAAGCATAAATGACAGCTGAAGAAGATGAAACTGAATTAACATCTGCAAAACAGTAGCTAAAATTGAAAATTAGCAACATCAAAGCTAAACGCTAAATTTAAACCAGAATTTAAAAGCTAAAACAACGAAAACAGCAGCTAAAACTTAAAATCAACACATTAGTTAAAGCTAAAATTAGCAAAACATTAGCTTAAAGTAAAAAATAACAATATTGTGGCTAAATGATAAAA